TGATGAGTTGGGGTGTATGGTTTGTTTCCTGCAGCTGTGTCGCTTTCCCACCCCTTGCTTGGGTGCGTGTGTGTGCACGTGTGTGTGAGAGTATGTAGACACTCTTTGCCTTTAATATTCTGACAAATTTTATTTCATACTTTGGGAACTCCCTGAGAAGGGGTCCCCCCACCTCTGTGCATCACCCAGTTGCAGGGCTCCTAAAGCAGGAATTTCTGTAAAATAAATCTGTGTATAAACCAGATTATTCTGAGTATCATTTTCATAAGAATGTAAAAACTTAGTTATATGTAATCTTTTAATGGGAGATTTGACTTTGTCTTTTAAAAATGTATGTATTGTTATTCAGGCTACACTATGTAAATATCATCCAATAAATAGCAGAGGTCTCCACTTTTGATTTCATCTTCTTCCCCTTTATTTCCGGACCTGATGTGCCAACATGACGCACAAAGGCAATGATCCTCTCTAACCTCTGATGAGCTGGGGGTATGGATGTTTACCTGTAGCTGCATTTTTTTTTCCACATCCCTGCTTGAGAGTGTGTGTGTGTGTGTGTGTGTGTGTGTATACTGCTGATATAAGGCAACAAAACAACGAACTCATGCGGAAGTGGCTTTAGCTTCTTAGTGCTGTGCTTTAACCTGCTGCGCCACCAGGGAGGACCCTAGATTTTTTTTAATTCGAGTAAGTCATGGGGAAAAATTCTATCTATTGCAAATGCTTCATTTCTCCTCTCTTCTTTTTCTCTTCATTTCCCTCCTTTCCTCGCAATTTATTTATTGACAAAAAGTGGTGATTTTTCCTGTAGAATTTCCTGGTCTGGATTTTGTAACCACATAGTATCATTTAGCATGTCCTCCTGTCGCTTTAACTACTACAGGCAGGTGGCTAGAGATAGGGCAGGGATCTTGAGTGCTTTAAAGTGGCAGATAGTAAGTAATTTTGGATTTGAGGATCATGTGGTCTCTGGGGAAGCCACTCATTTTTGCCTGTCATGTCAAGAAGTCACAGGTAATATAGAAATGAGTGTGTGTGTGACCACATTCCAACAAAACTTTACTTACAAAAGCAGGCATGAGATCAAACTGGCCCGAGGGCAAAAGTTTGCTCATTCTAATACAGAAGTTTGATCAGTGGCAGTTTCAGACTTTTAGCAAATATCCTTCCAAGCCAGTGCTATGCAATTCCATCAGGAGGCATCTAATGTCTGGCTGTTTCCCCTTGTTCTATATTAGCAGTCACTGGTGATCTTGTCTAAATCCATGATTTCACAAAGTGGTTCCCAAACAGTAATTTACATTTTATTCCTTTGGCACTTATTAGCTGAAGTCTTTTATAATGAGAAACCTCCCCCTCATCAATTTAGTTACCCTGAGGTGGAATTCACAAGCAAAAGGGAAAATGCTTGATTCTTTCCTTATGCAAACAATTTTCGCAATTGTTATTTAGCACCCTCAGAAGAAAACCAAGAAGAGATTTTTTTTTTTGGAATATCATCAACTCTTGAATTTAAACATTAATGAATGCTTCCAATCCATTGTGGTTATTACTCTTATTGATGTTCTAATTATTCAATAGCTAGGCAAGGGGGATCTCTTTAAGTTGGCTCTAGAGTGCTTTTGACTCCACCTCAGTGGTCCTTGATGGGATCCTTGCTAACGGTCTGTCAAGGTTGTTCCAGTCCATTATTATTCAGTTCCTGCCCTGGGTTGCAGGCAGCTGTATCTCCAAGGAGCCTGAGGTTCTCAAGGGAGCAGTGCTGTTTGCTTAGTTCCTACATTTCAGTGAACTAGCAAGAAAACAGTATGTATTTAAAAGGTAAGATGTATCATGAATTCATACTCATTCATCATGACTGTTGCAATTCTAATCTGAATTAATGTGATCTATCTTGTTTCTTTTTCTCCTTTCTCAAGCCACGCTGAAAATCCTCATTCCCAAAGACACCCATATAGTTACTGAGATGCATTCTTCTCCCACAATTCTAGCCAAGGTTGAGCAGATTGCATTGAAAACCAAGTTAGGTGCGTTTTCCATGCAGAGCTCAATTGTTTAGCAGTGGACTTGTGAATGTTATAACTCCTCTATGCATCCTGCCAAGTCTTCAGTCACAAACAGGCATAATAATCTTTCAGTGACTTCTTCAACCTGGAGACACACAGTCCCTAGATTTCAGAGGGAAAATTGGAAATCAAAAGCATTGCATATGCTATCAAAACTACTGCTTCTATGGTCTGGTGTGGGGAAACTGTGTTGATGAAATATTAATTGGCTGTCTTCCACAACTGTACAGGGGAGGAGAAATTTATTTCTGAACAAAAAGTTATCAGCAGCAAAAGATTACAGCAGAAAGGTAAAAAAGAAAAAAAAAGAGGTCACAAGCTCTTTTCACTTAGGTTTAGATGCGGGCAGGAGGGCTTCTTTATCACATAGAAATATATGACATTCATAGACTTGAAGGACAGAACCAATACAGAATATGTTAGACTATGTGTATTCAGCAATCAGACATTCAGCATATATCATGTTCCAGGCACTGTACAAGATCTGGGCACTTAAAGATAAGTAAGACAGTATTACCTTTGGGGAAAAACATATACAGCATATTAAAAGTGATTTTAGACCCTCCCTGGTGGCGCAATGGGTTAGGATGCAGCACTGCAAGCTAGCACAGCCACTTCAGTTTGATCCCCTCCCTGGAGGTGACCCTCATGACACAGCAGACCTCTCCTGATCAGCCCTCTGCTCCCCTCAGCAGTGTACTTCGTCGATCTGCCTGTTCTGCTCCCCACTCTGTCTCTGGTGAGTCCTCTCACTGCCCCTGCACCTCTGGCCTGTACCCCAGCTCTGTATGGATAAATAAATAAATCTTAAAAAAAAGTGATGAGTTGGGGTGTATGGTTTGTTTCCTGCAGCTGTGTCGCTTTCCCACCCCTTGCTTGGGTGCGTGTGTGTGCACGTGTGTGTGAGAGTATGTAGACACTCTTTGCCTTTAATATTCTGACAAATTTTATTTCATACTTTGGGAACTCCCTGAGAAGGGGTCCCCCCACCTCTGTGCATCACCCAGTTGCAGGGCTCCTAAAGCAGGAATTTCTGTAAAATAAATCTGTGTATAAACCAGATTATTCTGAGTATCATTTTCATAAGAATGTAAAAACTTAGTTATATGTAATCTTTTAATGGGAGATTTGACTTTGTCTTTTAAAAATGTATGTATTGTTATTCAGGCTACACTATGTAAATATCATCCAATAAATAGCAGAGGTCTCCACTTTTGATTTCATCTTCTTCCCCTTTATTTCCGGACCTGATGTGCCAACATGACGCACAAAGGCAATGATCCTCTCTAACCTCTGATGAGCTGGGGGTATGGATGTTTACCTGTAGCTGCATTTTTTTTTCCACATCCCTGCTTGAGAGTGTGTGTGTGTGTGTGTGTGTGTGTGTGTGTGTATACTGCTGATATAAGGCAACAAAACAAAAATACACTCTTCACATTCATCAAAGAGCTCATCATATTTGCTGAGTAATGAGTAAATACTTAATATTGGATTCATTACTGAAAAAGGATATCTTTTCTAACACCAAATTGTATAAACCGGAGATAGTGTCTGTTTGAATTGCTTTGTGAGTTTCTTTTTGTGCAAATAAAAGTGTTTACTAGTACCTGAAGTCTAGGAGACTATTGAACATCAAAGGTAAGAAGAACCTAAGAAATAGTTCCTTCAGCTCTCAAAGGTGATAAAAATCATAATGTCAGATGAGAAGCTGGGTTAGTCACAGTGGCAAAGCTCCAGCTAGAGAGGCTTGTGAAGAATGGTGTAAGAAAAGATTAGACTAGGATGCTCAAAAAAGTTCAAGTGTATATTTATTTTATGTCTATTTTTCTTAGCTTTTATTTTTAATTGTTGATGTTAATTTTTTTAAAGTATCCTGCATTATAACATTAATTTTAGGAGTTCACTGCTGAGAATCAACATGTGGATACACTACATTATGTTCAAGGCTAATTGTCCGACTCCATCCTCCGCCACTCCACTGTCCCTTTCACAGTTCTTTCACTGTCAAGACATTGGTTCTTAAAATAAAACATGCAATAACAGTGAAAGAACTTTCTATGTCTCTTCTGAGAATGGTGGTCGCAGAAATACAGGTGATAAAATTGGAGGCGAGACGTTCTCTATTTCATGCTGGGAGCAGAGCAATAGTCTGAATGTCTATGTCCCTTCAAATTCGGATGTTGAAATACAACCCCCAAGGGAGCTGTCTTCAGACATGGGGCGACTGGCAGAGTCTGGGTCCTGAAGAGGGAGTTCTTCTATAAGAGCTCTTTTAAAAAGTGCCCTTACAGGGCTCTCCCTAGTGGTTCAACAGATTAAAGCACCTCATTATGAAGCTCTCCAAAGCCACTGCAGCACGAGTTCGCTCCCTGGGCAGGGCGCTGACCCACATGACGCAGCAGACCGCTCCTGATCCGCCCACTGCTCCCCTCACCAATGTACTTTGTCAATCTGCCTGTTCTGCTCCCCACTCTGTCTCTGGGGAATCCTCGCACCCACCAGTACCTGTACCCCAGTTCTGCAAGCATAAATATAAATAAATCTTAAAAAAAAAAAAAGTGCCCTTGTTAAGAGGCTTAGGATGCATGTCCTCCTCCACCAGTAAGGCACAGAGAGGCGCAGCCTTCGGTAGTGCAGAAGAGGGGGCGGGGCAACCGCAGCCATGCTGGCCCTGAGTGAGGGCTTCCAGCTCCCATAACCGTGATAATAAATTTCTACTGTGCATCAGACACCCAGTTTATGTTATTTTTATAACATCTGTCTGAAAAGACCAAAACAGTAAAGTGTCTTCTGACAGCAGATCACCCTTAGAATACAAAGAAAGGAGATATGAAATGAAACTCTTGTGATGTGTTGTTAGCCAACGGAGAATTGAGAATTGTCTGTAGAGTACCTTACCTTTTTAATTTCAGATTTCAAATTACAAGGGTTACTCTGCTGACTGAAGAGGGACTTCTTGAATCTCTCTATCACCCTTCGTTTTAAATTGTGGTGCAAAGCTGGAGGAAGCTGTGTAAAACGAGAAAACAATCATTACAAACCAACTGTTAACACCGCACAGGTGAGGCCCAGGAAGGCTGACTAAGGGGCAGGCTAAGAACATTTACCCAACACGACTACGAATTTAAACTTCACTCCACATAGCATGAGGAGGATGGCATAGTTTTTATTGCACAATCCAGAAGGAAGGTATTCTACTGCTTGCTTTCAAAAGGCTTCTTCTATGTGTCTTCCTGTTCTTTCATTTTATTGATACTATTTTTCATAAAGCAAACTGCACACATAAAATGAATTGTGTAGAGAACAGAATTGTTGCCCAACCAAAATAGTGTGAAACACCCCAGCCAGGGCCCTGGCCCCAAAGACCCTCCCCGCTGTGGGCCAAGAAGCTCATGACCGTGTAAGTACATGGCCAGATGCCTGCCTGTGGTGCTCCTGACTATTCAGTCGGAGAGAGAGCAGGGACCAATCTTATCCAGAAGATGATGAAATTGAGTGAGTACGTATCAGGGCATACCAGGCGGATTTAGAATTTTAATAAGATTCCGCGGTGGCAGGATCTTAGAAAATACGCTGATTAGTTGACAATGGGACTTCCAAAGTATTTTGATTTTATTTTGTAGTGCTCTGCAGGTTGGATTTCCATAAGGAAATCAAAGGTTCTGAAAGGCTGAGGGGTGAAGTTAAAATTAAAATCTAGCAGAAAACAAATAGGGCAGAATGATAAGGTGTCTCAGAGTAGCTAGGATGCATTATTTGTTTACAGTATGGAAAGGATTTGGCAGAAGAGGAGAGGGGAAAGAAAAACAGCACACACACACACACACACAAAGATGGTTAAGGGAAAGGAAAATGTTAGAGGAACTCTTAAAATTAAAAAAAAAAATAGAATTCAGCACTCAATCCAGAGGAGAAATGTGGGCGCATCTGTCTTGAAACCACCCCCACTTCCTTTTCTGTACCCTCTTAAAGAGTTGTTTTTGGTGTCCTGTTGCTAGTTTTGGCCAACTCAAGTGATCTGCATCACCTCAAGGATGAAGCAATGTGCTTCCTCCACCCCCTCTCCTCCACCTGGGCGAGGAACGGCGAAGGCCGCCTCCTAGGGCCACAAGATGGTGGACAGCCACCTGCCCTGTCCCGTTCCCACTGAGAAATAGACCTCCATTGTGCCAAGTCAAGAGACTTCAGGATGTGCGTGAGAGCTGCATAACTGACCATATCCTGAAGGGTAGCTATAGGGAACCTTAGTATAACAGGGGACTATAAAAAAGGTAATTGTAGAGCAGTGAATAGGGTCTATGGGGGCTCCCAAGGGCAGAATTTATAGCCAAAGAAACAGTGTTCCTCACTGCAAACACTGCAGAATATGGGACTCATGATGAAGCCCTAAAATGCTGTAAAAAGAAAATCAGTGCTACTGGAATATGTATTTAGATGCCTCTTTCATCCTGGCCAATCCTTTAAGTTTGCTCGACTCAAAGCAGGTTTAATTACAGAGGAAGCGAGGCTATTTGGAGATTCTAAAGCCCTGCAATATCTTTTGAAAGGTTCTGTAGTTTAACAGCACCGACTTCTCCTGCTCTACTTTTATGTCCCTATTACAACTTTCTTTTGCCTTGATCCAGATGTGATTATGCCTCTGAGCACCAGCAAATAGTCTAATTATTGTGACCCCTTCATGTGGAATGAAAGGGGGAAATCAAGAAATGTGTATAGACAGAGAGAGATGAAGAGAAATTTCTCAGCATTAAGGAGCAAAGAGTTGGCTGGCAGCTGAGAAAGGAAATGAGTGTCCTGGACACAGGTGTGTGGGAATGAGCAAAACTGGAATGAGCTGAGCTTACAGTAGGCGCCAGCAATGCAGGCAAGGGGGCATGTGAGGCTTTCCTAGCCAGCAGCTGGGCTGCAGTGGAGAAGGGCTGGAGGTGGGTGGGGAGAGTCCCTGCAGCTACCTTTTTGGATATTTGATCATTCCCTGATGCCCAAGAGAGACTGCCACTTCCCTAGATCCAACGCCAGAGAGCAGTGTTGGCCAGGACCTTCCATTCACCCCAGTGTGATTTCAGCCAACAGAGGGCAAGGCGGCAAATCTTCTCTGATATATCGTGTTGTCTGTCTATAGCTGCTGACTTTAGAAGGTGTGATATTCTGTGGGTTCACAGGTTTTTGACCCAATCAACAGTTGGATTATAAATTCAGACACTCAGAAAAATCCTTGCTACTTATTCAATTTGATAAACCCTCAGTTAACTTAGACTTGCTTTTCCTGCCCCCCATATGTTAACATTCTCTCAATTTAACAGTTATACACAGGTCAGTACTGGGCAGTTACTGTATCTGAAATAATTATCACTATGGACAGCAACCTATCTTTCAAGTTTTCATGGAAGAATTAAAATTTTTGCACAGAATGATTCATGCATCATTTAATTGCAGATGATGTAAGCATCATAATGTATCTAAGGACTATAATATTCAGGACAGAACATTGCTACCCAGTGATGTGATTACTATGATTATGCATTAGGTCACTTTTTCCCCCCAACAGCAAACTTATAAAATGGGTACTATTTTACAGGTGAGGAAATCAGAGCTTAAAGACATTCTGTAACATGCAATGATACTTCTGAGGTAATGAACATGATAACAATCATTATCCTCAAGCAAGCACACCAGCATTACTGTGGCTCAGCACTTTATAGTCTATAAACATGTCACACACTTCATTTCCCTTGGCACAGCAGTCCCCAAAGCTACCAAATTTCACCAGTGAAGAAACTGATTCTAGAAAGGATGATGACTCCCTTAACATTCTACATCTAAAAGCTTAATGGCTGTTTGTTTTTACTACACCAAATGAAATCTGACCTGTAGTTTTCATACTAGCTTTTTTCACATTTGCGTGCCATCAATTATTTTTAGAGAATGGCATTTCATGTCCGTCTAAGAAAACTCGGGCCAATGGTCCCTCACATGGGGTCCCACTTGCTAGTGATCCAAACAATACTTTTCCATAAAAACAGGTTATAGAGACACACCACTGCTTCAGAAGAGGTTTCCCTAAATGCTAAAGTAAAATGTCCAAAAATTATCAGGAAAATAAATACACAGAAGATAAAATTCCTCAGAATTTACAAACCCTGGAAGTACAAGTTTTCTTGAGAAGCACAGCTTTACCCTGATGATTTAACCTGTTCACCTCAAAATTAGAAGTCAGAACCAGGTAAGAGAATGTGGCTGTTTCTAATTTCATAGATCGCTACTGCTGGTGAAAAAGCCCCTATATATTTCACAGGTCACAGTCCACAGTGTAATTTCCACAGCACATTGATATTCCCAGCCACCTATTTTGTTCCACTGGTGACAACCGTGGCTCTTAGGATGTGGTGCTACCACCTGCCTGCTGCCCAGGAGATGAGTGTTTACTTTTGAAAAGTTGCTCTATGCTGGCTGGCAAAGAATTTAGGTAACAAAACGATCAAACCCTAAATGTAGTTAAATTCAAAGCTTACGATCTTAACCATAGTGCTGACACATGGAAACTTGTACTAAAAGGTAACATATGTACTTCGTCACCTTATGTGCCCAAAGATTGATTTCGTTTCCAGTCATGGACTGAACCACGGATTTCATTCTCAGCTTACTGGTCCTCAGATTACCATCTCAGTGTGGATAAAAACAGATATCAAATCAGTGAAGGCAGGGGAAGGATTTTAACATCCTGCCTTTGAAAACAGTTGCTTTCAGAGGATTGCCACAGATCTGTCTCCATGGAAACTGGAGAGGAAGGGCCAGCATGGGCCATAAGCAAGCAGCTTCTCAGCCAGGTCATCTGTACTTCACCCTGAGATTCAGGGTGGCACAGACCTAGCACAGGTCTGTGGCAGTTTGACAAGGAAATAAATATGTGAAACAGGAGGTGAATTTCTTTTTCTTTTCAGCTATTTCGCTTTGCAATTATCAGATTAGCAGAGAGAGAGAATGATCTCAGTCTTTCACCTGTAGCCAACACACTTGTTTAGTGTTTATGTATAAACATCTATGTCCTCTCTTTGAAAACACTGACTTTGACCAGTTCTGAAATTTCAATTTCCTGGGTGAGGGGAGGGGGAACTAATTTATTGTGTGTAATGTCATAAATTTTAAGGTATTCTGAAAATATATTTTTTAAAATACCTGAACTTGTAGCAAGAAATGCCACCTTGCCAAAAAAATGAAGTCATGTGTTATGCTGACAGTATAAGTGCATAGTAATAAGATATTTTGTAATAGTTTCAATCTTGCTTGAAAATACTTTGAAACCCAATAAGGAAATGGAATACATCCATTAACAAATTTTTGTTATATAAAAATTATCAAGGCAGGCATAAGGAAATGGCATCTAAAATCCAAAGGATATTTTCTCTCAATTATTAGTTAAATACTGAGGGAACCAATAACACTATTTGCATAAAAGACTAATGATAGGAATACTGAGGGAACCAATAACACTATTTGCATAAAAGACTAATGATAGGAATACATTCTGTATCAGTAATTTTACATTTAAATGCATTTTTAATATAATATCTTTACTCAATAAAGACAGTAGATTACATTTGGCTTTATCAACAAAGTTCACCCTCCTCTCATTTTCTTGGCCCCTTTCACCCTCTTTCATTTAATCAGAGAGAAAATTCTTTGTGAAGGCCTAAGAGGAAGACTAACAATAGAAAATGGAGAAAAAGCTGTCGATTTTAGCCTCTTGACTCTGAAAAGGCTAACCCTCAGGGTGACTGAAAAGAAGCAGCAGATTTAAGGGACCGAAGCTTGATAGAGAAGAGGCAGGGTACATCAAGGCTCGAATAAGTCAATGGGAGGATATAGAAGCGGGTAGATCCCAAAGAAGGGAGCCCCTTGTGTAGCCCCTCAGGGTAAGTGAAAGTCATCAATTTATAGCAAACCCCCCTCATTGCCCTGTGATGACACAGAACGTGTCCTCGCCCCACCCCCCACCCCCCCAGCTGGCTGGACGCTCAGTTCTACCAGTAGAGGGCGCTGGAGACACTGGAGGAAGACGGTCCCTGCATCAGTAAGGTTCCGTCCTTGTTTACTCCCACAACCCTGAGGGGTCAGCAGAAAGGGGGACCACTTGGAGTGCTCACCCCCAGCCAGATTCAGCAGCATTAATCCTACAGGTGGCTTTCCAGTGACATTCCATGGGGCACACTTCCCCAGATACAGCCTCCCCTAATCCCAGCTTTCCACTTTCAACACCCTGACTTCCAGCAAGCTCCAGAGCCTGACTCCTCACCGTGGGTGGCTTGCATACCCCTCAGTGAGCCTCCTCCTCAGTGAGGCCTCCCCGCAAGGTTCTCTCGCCGGCCAAGAGGGCTTGTCCTGCCTTTTGCAGTGAGGTCTTGAGCTCAGTCAGGGGGTGTGTCCTGTTCTATGTTGTTCCTTTCTCAGGAGCTTGGCCTTAGCCTTATAAATATAGGCTTTCTAAACTGCTCTTACTGTATTCTTCTGCTTCCTTCCCCTCCCTAGTCACTAATGCCCTGTAATTGTTAATATGTCTAGTAAAATTTCCCTGTTGAAATTACTGTGTGGTTTCTGTGTCCTGACTGGGCCTCACTGACACAGATTTGTTATCAGCTGGGATTTAGGAACTGGTTTGATTGTGCCTTGGAACTGAGCCTAGCATTGAGTTTTCCGTCCAGAAGACATAGGATGTTAGGGACCCCAGGCATTCAGTGGTATCACAGCAAAGCAGGTTATCACCTTGATAAAGAGGCTGCTGAAGCCACTGTCTGAGCCCGAGTGGCCTGCACTGAACTCTTAGGCAGCGGAAAGTCTGCCAGGGCGGTGAAGTGGGGCAGACTCCTCAGCACGCCCTGGAGCACTGACAGAAAGGCAGTGACAAGCCGGGGCTCTTTAACTCTCAGCTCCTTGTAGTCTGAGACCCAGAAGGATTCCATGACAGCCCTCAAAGAATCTGTTCTTTCTTGATGCACAGCCCTGAGATGGCTGATAATCAAACACAAATTTAATTGGGCAGGCTGCTAAATCACCATGTCCGTTGGCTGCACTCTGCCAAGTTTCTCATGTGGAAATTAGAAAAAAGAATTGAATCCTAAAACTTGGAATAGGGACATCTTGTTGGACCCAGATAAAACCGACAATCTTAAAACTCTAGTCATTCCTCTGATCTGTCATTGTCGGTGGAGATAGCATGTCACCCTGTGTCTGAGAAAACAAGCCTTTCTTTGCTTGGAAACTCTGTACTAACCTCATCTGGGACAGACAGCTTCCAAAGGGATGCTGATGCCTTTAAAGACCCACAACAATTAGAACCAAGTCTACAGCTAGGGTCTATTTCAATAAGATCCAGGGCAACTGGGGCTCACTCTGCCCCAAAAGGAAACAGTTTACATACCAGAGAACAGCCAGACTTTGCCATCACATTTCAGGGGTAATCCAGGGAGCAAGTGCAGGAATGGACAGGTGTCTGGTCACAGAGAGTGAAATGCCACACTGGGTTGGGCTGGTGGCCTGTTCTGCACTTACTATGGATTCCAGATTTAAGCAGCTCAGCTGACTGGTTGCCTAAGCCTCAGACGCAATGGTGGACTGCCTTTACAGAGAGTAAAATGCTGCATCTTCCCTGGCAAGTGGAGGAGGGAAAAACTGTGGAGACAAGACTGATGGGTTGAACTCATCACACGTGACCCACACATGCATTCCCCAATTATGCTCAGCAAGAACACTCAAGACCAACTCCTTTCACCAAAGCACTGAGCAAAGCTTTGGAGAGAGGAGCACCTGCACCCTGAACAGCTTCTATGGCTGCTCTCCACAGTGAGCCAGGTATGGCACTGGTCGTACATGATTTCTGTGGGGATCATGTGATGCCAAGTGGCAGTACTTGCCCACCAGTGACAAGTTGAGGGTATTTAACATAAAGGGTCATAGGGCTATAATGTTAGTTAAAAACGCCATAACCCACAGACATCTCTGGAGGTGCCTACTTATTAGGTGAGTCTGACCAGAAATAGGCAGTTAACCTGCCAGCATATTCCTTGATCTACATTAGAGAAGAACGTGGAGGTAAAAACCTGACTTGAGTTGCAATAGCCATTCCTATTTTCCAGCCCTAGATTAATTCAAAGACTCAAAGTCCCTAGATGGCTGTAATTTAAAGTTAATGGAAAAGCTGGAGCCCCTGGAGGAAGGACCCAGTCCACATTACACATTTTCTTCCAAGCCTTCCCCAAAGACACCTGCTAAAAAGTTTCTTTTTGTATTAACAATACAGGCATTTGTCAGATGATCTTTTATGTTGCTTATTACTAGAAGATTCCTGTAAATAATAGCTAGTTTTTAACAGATTTCTTCCCTAGTGCCTAAGAATTGCTATGATTTAGAAATAGGAAGTTTTAACAGTCCTGGAGTTTTATGTGCTTTTTGTTTTCATTTCTCTGAAAGGTGCTGGTTTTAATGCCCTATCCTCAGAACTATTGAGTGAGCTGTAGTTTCCTCTTTCTTTCCTATACTGAAACCGAAGCCCTTCTACCTCTATACTTCAGGGTCATCTGTGCCAGGCACTATCAGTGAACAAACAGGTTAGGAGCACAGGGGAAACCTTGACATCTTTGTTGTTGTTTTTTTTTTTTCAACACCTTCCCAGTTCTGCTACCAAGGAAAGTGTTCCCAAGTAGATGTACTTGGAGAGGATAAGAACAAGCATTCACTGTAATTGAAAGTTCCACAAAGCAGTTTTTCAGCAATGTTAGCACCAAACTTAGATAAAAAGGAGAGGAAATAAAAAATCAACACACTGACCTGTGTGATGTAGATGATTTTGTGCAGCTGAATTAGGATCTGCTGAATAGGATCGCTGATCTGACGTACTTTCCTCTGGGACACAGCAATCCCTGCAGATGCTGTGAATGACAAAGTCTGAAGTTAGTTAAAACCCTTGTTTTCTCTTTCACAAGTGGTATTAATGGGAATAAGATAAAATTCTGAAAAAAAAAAAAAAAGCGAAGGCCCTCATCCTACTGATGAGACAATATGAAGAGACCCAGTAACACTTTAACATTTATGATGTGAGCTGTACAGTTCCCTTTCTTTACTTCTCTGATATCTAAGTACCATACTAGCTAGCATAACGTTTAAAAGGCTTAGATTTTTTTTTCCTGTAATTACACAGAATGTCACTAGGAGGCAGTGCTCCCTGCATACTGTGGTCATTGTGAAGCTGGGCTTCAGATTAAGTGCAGTTAGGATGCTATCATGTTTTTAAACTTCAAATTCATTATGCCTTCAATGGCATATTTTAAATGAATTTTATTAAAATTCTTAAATGCAAAATAAAGTAGGCACTCTAATAGAAGAAAATAGCTAAAAATAAGTAACATTCAAATTCTTGAGTATGACAAATTATAATTTTTCTCTAGATTTCTCTCCAGGTCACATTTATAATTTATCCCATATTCTTATCAGAGTTACACCACACTAACTTTATAATTTCAGGTTAGTTTGGTATCAAGGTGCCTATGACACCATTTTGAGCTGTTTTCCCAGTTTCATACAAAATAACCACAAATGGTCCAGTCTACATGTTGAGGAATATGAAACTTTTAAGGACTGGCCTTGTCCCCTTTGACTCCTCTTACCTTCAGATCCACACCAGCGAAAGTAGAAGAGAGATTTCAGACAGATGGATAGATATTCTCTTCTCTCCACTCCCCCAAACCCCCCCCCTTAATTTTAGTATGCTTTCTTCTTTTTCAAATTTCCTTTTTTTTAAGTAAATGTTCCAAAGTACCTTTTTTTCTTGCAACCATACAATCTTGAGCTAATATGAAGTGAAAATGTAACACAACTATTTATTTAGCAAAATTAAGATTTTGTAAAATGATTCCTATACAAATGCTTTCTGAGAAAGTGTGTGTATTTTACACTATAAAACATTGCTTTAAAGCTTTTAAAGAAAAAAATATAATGTGATCATTTAAAAGGTTTTTTTTAATATAAGCACATGAAAATTTATGTTTAGGACAGAAAACATAAAAATAGAAAGTAAAACATTTAAAGAACTATGTGCTTTATAGATATATTTACAGTGATAGTTGAGAAAATGGCACAAGAAATCATAAGTTCTAGCTCATCTGCATTTAATACCTTCTTTAAATGTTCGATATTTAAAGGATCTATCTCCTCTAGGCACAGTGTCTAACGCCTTTAAAGCATCAATTACTGAACCATTAAGATGAGGTACAATAAATTATCCTTAGGGGGGAAATGTCACGGTATCAGAAAAAAATATATAATGTAGCTGTAAAGCAGAAAACAGCATCCTGGAGCAGTCTGCTGCAGCACCTGGCCAAGTATACACCCGTCTCACTTTCCATGTGGAGCTTTTATTTGAAGAGCTAATTCTTAGAACATAATTATTTGTTTAGACCCACACCAAAACCAGAGACCACAGAATGTGGTCAAGTTGATGTAGCCTCAGAGACATTAACTTTGCATTTTCTGAAACTGGAGAGCTTGGGGTTTGATCACTTTTATGTTGACTGCTTTATGGTTTTGATGTACAGACTTGGCATTCATAGGTAACGAGTCAAAATCTCACAGCATGGCAGAGTTCTTAGATTTGTGATGACATTTTGAGTGGGATATCACACGGGTTCACTCTACCTTGCCACAAGAATGTGCTCATCTGTGGCCCTAAATACAAAAACAGAGATAGTTAGCTAGGAGGCCTGTCTTCTGTACTACCCAAGCAAGCAATGTAACTTGAAAATTATTTTTCTTAAGACCCTTTGATCACTATTCTCAATCCCAGTAAATCCTTGAGTTTTGAAAACAGTTTTGATTGCTTACTCAATATAATAAATTTAAAGGTGTTTCATTACCCTTGCCCCTTGCAGAACAAGCAAACACAAATCAAAACAACCTAAGGAGCGCCCTCCTTGGTGGCAGAGAGAGTAGAAGCCAGCACTGCAAAGCTGGCTGTGGCCTCTTCAGTGCAAGTTTGATCCCCCACCCTGGAGGTGACCCACATGGCGTGGCAGACCTCTCCTGACCCGCCCGCTGCTCCCCTCAACAGTGTACTTGGTCGATCAGCCTGTTCTGCTCCCCACTCTGTCTCTGGTGAATCCTCTCACTGCCCCTGCACCTCTGGCCCGTATCTCAGTTCTGTATACATAAATAAATAAATGTTAAAAATAAAAATTAAACAACCTAAGGCTCCCTGGAACCACCACTACCACAGCTGCCTCTTCAGAAGTCCCCCCCAATATCCGTAGGAGCTGGCTCCTCCCAGTCCCTTTCTGTCCATCACATACATATGGATGTATCCCCAGAACAGTATCTTTCAAAGCAGGTTGAGTCCTGGAATCAGTTTAGTGGGTCATGACCAGCATTTTTGAAAAATGGAATGGAATAGAGTGGAATGAAATGGAGCAGGAGAGAAAATGTTCAGAGTGCATTGTACACAGCAAAGGATCACTTGGTCAAGACATAATATATGTATTTCTCACTGAGGTTCATTTCCAAAAGTTTGAAAGCTACTATTGTAGGAAATCCAAAGGATGTTGACAATCTCCCCTCCCACAACATTATCTTGCACTTTTTTTCTTTCTTTTTAAATAAATGCTGATGTATCACCAGGCTTAGTTATGATTTTTTTTCTTCATCTGTCATAAAAATTCCTTTTCTAGACAACACTCACAGTTCTTGTTCATTCTTTATTAACCATTACTGAATAATACTGCATACTCTGGATGTCCTGTAGGTTACTTAGCCATTTCTGTCCTGATGGACACTTACTTTGCATTCAAATTCTCCTGATCATAAGGGATGCTGCAGTGATCACATGTGTAGGGCCTTACTGTGCATAAAAATGAGAGGTCTTTTGTGTCATTTAAAAAAAAGGGGGGCCCTCTCTGGTGGCGCAGCTGGTTAAAGCACAGCACTAAGAAGCTTAAGCCACTTCTGGATGAGTTCGATTCCTGCCTGACCAGGAGGTGACCCACATAGCGTGGCAGACCTCTCCTGACCCGCCCGCTGCTCCCCTCAGCAGTGTACTTCATCGATCTGCCTGTTCTGCTCCCCGCTCTGTCCCTGATGAATCCTCTCACCCTCCACATCTCTGGCCTATATCCCAGTTCTGTATGAATAAATAAATAAATCTTTAAAAAAAAAAAAAAAAAAGGAAATAGGGCCCTCCCTAGTGGCACAGAGAGTTGGAGCACAGCACTGAGAAGCTAAAGCCACTTCAGCACGAGTTCTATCAACACCCCAGAGGTGATCTACATGGCGCAGCAGACCTTTCCTGACGCGCCCGCTGCCCCCCTCAGCAGTGTACTTCATTGATCTGCCTGTTCTGCTCCCTGCTCGTCTCTGAAGAATCCTCTCATCGACCCTGCATCTATCTGGCTGTAATATTTGCAAACTCTCTAAATTCCCTGGACAATCTTAGTCAACTGTGATAAGAGAACTATTATTCCTCATTTAGTACCTATTGAAATCTTCATAATTTTTATATAAAATTCCCCGACATCGGATGTATATTTATTTAGCACTGAATAATTTTATAATAATTTTATAATAATAATTGGGAATAAAAATCCCAATAGGTATCTGTTTACAGTTTTAGACCCTATTTGGATATTAATAACTTCAAGTGCAAGAGAGGGCCACTGCTGGATGTCATATTATCCAGTTTAAAGCAGTCTCCCTCAGGAAATCTTTCAGATTAGCATGTCAAAATACTGTGCTTTCTGACTATTTACAAAATGTGCACTATACACTTATAATAATATATTTATAATAATAGTTCTAAGAATATTTATTAAAACAATGTTCCCTTAAAAAGACATCAAAGAGGCTAATTGTATTTCATGTCAGTGACACACAATAAAGACATGATTCAAACCTATGTGATTTCTACTGCAAAAGATAGAGGATATTTAAATTGGCCTTATTACAATTTAAATATAATCAACATTTTTTAATCGGAAGGCATAGTAGTATTCCTTTATAGTTTTATTAAAATAGTGCATTTAATTAGTATTTTAAGTCTGGATTGGATACTCCACATACTTTTTAAAGATTTATTTATTTATGCTTACAGAACTGGGGTACAGGCCAGAGGTGGGTGAGAGGATTCACCGGACACAGTGGGGAGCAGAACAGGCAGATCGACAAAGTACACTGCTAAGGGGAGCAGCAGGTGGGTCAGGAGAGGTCTGCCATGCCATGTGGGTCACCTCCAGGGCAGGCGGGGATCAAACTCATGCTGAAGTGGCTTTAGCTTCTTAGTGCTGCGTTTACCCACTGCACCACCAGGGAGGGCCCGGAAAATACACATTTTTTTTTTTATCAGACAACTTAAAGATGTCAAAAAGTTATATTTACGAGATGATACTGTGGTGAGCATGGCACTGAAGAGCGTATTTCCCTTCTGGAGTGGCAGGAAGGAAGCTCTGCAGGAAGATCAGTGCTTTTTTACTGTGGACTTGCCTAAGACACGGGGGGCCCTCAAATATTATATTGATTCAGGATAGATAGGATGTGAGGGGTTCCCAATTAGACAACTAACATACCCCAAAGGGGCAGGAAGTCATGGACAACTCTTCTGACTACCTCAATATAAAATAATACCTGGTCTTCCCAGAAATGAAATAGTATTTCTCTTCTGGTTGCTATTATTATCAGGAATATTTTCAACATGAATTAGAATATTTTTTTAATTACATACATGTAGTACAGAAAGCACTAGGTCTTTGCCACTGTGCACTGAGCCACAGTCTACTTTATTTTCTCATGAAATATTACACTAACCTAGTCACTTGCCCATCCCCGGTGCTTGGAGTCTTGATTTATACTCTATTTCTAACGCATTGAACCTACAATTCACAATGCAAATCCTGAAGCTGTTAATTAATATACGTTAAACAAAAAGATGAATTACACTATGTTCCCACAGTTGACCAAGATATAATATGTATTTTCAACCTACTAGTTTCCTGAATTCGCTCTGCTAGGAATCATAGAGATGAAAAAGATTCAGATGGGAGTTCCCTAGTGAAGTAAAAAATGCTATCCCATTATGAATCTTCCCTAGGGTCCCCAAAACATTCACGGACTTCTCTATATTGGCCATAGTGTCCCACTGAAAGGCAATACAATCTTTCAAATCCAAGAATGGTGAACAGACTGGTTCCCACCTCTTCCCTTTACTTTTGTGAGAAGCAACAAAGTAAACTGAACTATAGATCAAACCTAAAAATGACCGGTAATCTGTCCCTTTGCCCAGCAGCATGGAAGGCGTCAAAAGCTAAAACAAAGGATATTGCACTCATGGTGGGTTCATCGTAAGTGTCACACAGAGAACAGCAGAAAACACAAAGAACTGATTGAGAAGACCACAAAGAATGAGTAGGCCATCAGCCATCTGTGGGCACAGAGCACGATCTGGTGTAAGGAAGTGGCCGCTTCTAAAAAGGAACAGTGCCAGCAAAGGATGCAGGTCAGCCGGTGAGGGGAGCATGAGGAGAACAACGAAGTGCTCAATCTATCCTGCAACAGTGGGACTGCGGGAGAGGTAGCCAAAGGCCACACAATGGAACCATCAGGGTGACTGCTTCAGGAAAATTGAAGAAGCAGAGATGTGAGGTCAGAAGGCCTGGCTTGAATATTGTCTCCTCCAGGTACAAGGTACAAGGAGCAAGGCTTTAGGAAAGTCCCAACTTGCTTGGGTCTTAGTTTCTTCATCAGAAATGGGAGCATGGTGAAAATGGGAATGAAATGAGTGGATCCCCATGGGTGCTGTGACTAGGGGAACAGGAGCCAAGCAGGCTGCCGACCCTTGGGGGGTCACTTAGAGAAGGGAGAAGGGGAGAGGGGCGACCGACAAGGAGGACTGGGGGTCTGGGCCCTCAACCTGACCAATGAGAAGAAATTGTTAGAAAGGGACATGTGAATCTGGGCCTAGCCACGGAAACTCCCCACGCACCCTCCCCTGCGAGTGGGGTTCCCACAGGGCGGCAGGAAGCTGCATCAGGCTTTCAGTCCTTTGACCTTTATCTCCTTTCATTAGACTCTTCAGAAACAAGCTAGTTGAAGGACACAGAAGCAAAGTTGCTCTGAACCTCTCTCTCTGGAACCACCTTCATGACCACATCCTGGCCAGAATTCATTTGGATGTGTGTCAGGATTGGGGTTACCCCTAGTTCCAAAACCGCTCTCATTCTCTCTTTATTGTTTCAAAATGTAAAATATAACCTCTGGATTTTTAAGTCAAATTTCCTAGAGACATATAGAACTATGGATGCTTTGGTGATAGTGGTGACATACATCTGAAGAGGTGTGAATTATTCCCCTAAATCGCACACTATGCTGTAAACCCATGCTACTTCATCAGAAAATTGAAAAGGGTTCCTATAGATGTTTCCACAATGCACATGGCAAACAGTGTGAGAATTTATGCTGTGTTACTTCCCACACTCACTTTGGACCTGGTTAATCTCCTGTTTCAAACTAGCATCTTTCTAAGATGGGGAAACGGTGAAAAAAAGTTTTACTTTTACAAGACCCTAAAATGCAATAGTCTAGGTAGAAAGGAGAAAGATGCAAAGAGAATTGTTGCTGAAAAAAACTCATCCTCTTGCCCTTGCTGGATGAGATAAAGCTCCTCTGAGAAAGGAGGAAAAAGAGACAAG